GAAATTGTTTTAGCAACAATATTTTCCAATATCTTGTTATTTCAGTTGCACCTTTTACTATATATATATTTTGAATAATAATAACCACATGTAGCACATTACTACAGCGTATTGCTATTCTAGTATTTTTTTACGTATGGAACAATTTGACTAGTCACCTTAGTGACCTCCCACAGCATAAAAAGGTGTAGGTTTCCGTTTTCCAGAAACCTTCCAGATATCCTCTGAAAGCTGTGATCTGTAGGCACTAACTTTTGGAGAAGACAATTTTTTAATTTCATATATATTTCTTTTTAGATGTTTCTTTTAAGTGTATTTAATGAACAAACATCAGTTCTAGTGTGATGATATCCTTAAATTTCACGTTCAGACTTCCAGTTTGTCCTGAGAAAAAGTATAAAGTCATCGACTATGTGCTCACTTGGGCCTTTGGTCCTGGTAAGATGATAAGAATATTTGTAACGGTACTAGTACTTATTATATCTAGATATACTAGCTTCATTGAAGTTCGAAACAAAATATGCCCCACCCTAAGGGTGACATGTACCGGTACCAGATTTCATTGTACTACAGTGAGCTATTTCTCAGTTACTGTAAAATTTTTACTGAAAGACATCAAGAGTTAATTTAACCTTCAATATCAGTAGCGACTATTTCAAAAACAATTCCAAAGGGCTATCCAGAAAATAAACCAATTATGATGCCCTAAGCCAGAATTATATGTAACAATGAAAATATGGCTTATGCTCCTCATTGAAAGTAGGTCACTGTGACTTGTAACCACTGCTAAAATATGTGTTTTCAAATAATATAAGAACTACATCCATAATACATGTACTTCAAAAATATCTCCAGAAATAGGCATTTTAGTGATAATGAAAAAAATGCTTTATGAATGACCTTCACCTATTGCCTTGACCTTACACTTCAAACCCTCTTGAGTTGTCACTTTAGAGTGTTTTATCCTGAAAGTGAATTTGACCTTCAATATCAGTGACAAATATTTTAAAGACATTTCAAAGAGCTATTCAGCATATAAACCAAATGTGACGACCTTTGGTGGAATTCAATATAACATTGACAAAAATATGAAAATGATATAACTACCATATGCATAAGAGTTGCTAAAACTTCTGTAGAAAAAGGAAATTTAGAGAAAATGTAGTATATGTAGATCATGAACAACCTTTTTCCAACTTAGACCCCCTACCAAAAGACAAGTTAGGCCACAAACAAACATGACACTGACCTTTGACATAAGAGATCAATGTGTCATCAAACTTTCCCAGCGGTAAGGAAACACATGTCATTCCTGAGAAGTCCAAGTGTGGCTATCAAACTGAGGCAAACTCTTGAAACATCCCCATTTACACAGCTTACTAATATAACACAAATTATCAATTTCTTTTCTTCATAAATGCTGTCTGCATCCAAGAAGCAAGATCATGTCACTATCAAACCCGCTGTCCCTTCCTCAGTCAAGGTGACCGTCAAACAAAAAGGAGGCTGCGAAGAAGAAGGCGGACTCGATCCTATCTTCCACCAAGGAGACCATCTCTACGCCGTCTACCCCTTCGACACCCCAACCAGATTCAGCCTTGGAATTCCAGATCAGCACCCTGGAGAAGTTGTTAGCCCAACAGCAGGCCTCCATGGAAGCATTGATCTGCAGGAATATGGGTCAGCACTATCATTCGTGGATATGATAGACCCCAGCTACCATTTCATGCCGACTACACAGCCATGGACAGAACAGTCGTGTCCTCCGGAATGCCTGAATATGCTTGATGCCATGTTCCTTCATCAAAATCTCATATTCACCGTACTCTACCTTGGCCAAGTTATACCACCAGGATCCTCTACCAGATGATCGAGATGATGCAGAAGCTCTGTCATGATGACCAACTTCCCCTCCCAACTAAGAGGAAGAAGCTGTAGCAAACTCATGCATCACTGTTCCCGGGAACACAGCCATTTGATGATGAGTTTAGCAAAATAGTGAAGACCCCTAACACCAAACTTCCTCTCCCAGCTAGCCGAGTCAAGGACCTATCTACCGTCAACAATTATTCTATGGACATCAGTACTTATCTGAATGGGTTCCTCGCCAAGTCTGGACTGCCTCCCAGCTTCTATGGCTTCAGCGACAACAACTCCTGTCTCAAGTCACATCTTGGGCTGTCTGCAAGCATGCTAAACAGACAGTTATGTCACAGCCAGTCACATCATCAATGTTGTTTAACAACAACATGTGGGCACGATCTTGGATGAAGTCCGACAAGACATGACAGAGAGATTCCAAGTCTCTGCAATCAACTTTGGAATCAAGGCGCATGGATCGCAGTTCCCTCCTAAAAGATCATGGGAACCGGCCAGGGATTCCTCCTACCATAAACCGCCTTGTAAGAAGTACATCCTGCCAGGAAAAGAAACCTACCAGGCATGCCGGCGTTACGACAAGTCATTGACAGATTCTTTTAGGGGGTTCTACTCCCCGGTGTTTTTAGTTCCAAAGAAGAACTCCACTGAGATGAGAATGATCATCAAACTCAAAACACTCAACAAGAAGTACCTGATCCTGCCTCCAAGATTTCAGATGGAATCAGTCAGGAAGCTACGTTCATCATTTGAACATGAGATTTGGTTATCAGCCTCGACCTTAAGGATGCTTGTCTCCATGTGCCAGTTCACCGCACGTCACAAAGGTACCTCCGTTTTGCAGTAAACTGCATATCAATAGGCCCTTGCCTATTCACTAGAATAAAGGCTCCAGTCATCAACTTTGCCCATTTAAAGATGGTACGACTTCATGGCTATCTAGAGGGTTTCCTTGCCGCCAATCAGGAACACACCCAGCTTAGTCAGGATGTGACATTCCTCACCCAACTCATGTCTTATCTGGGGCTCCTCACCAGAGATTTGTCAGGTACAAGACATAGTTTACATCTGAGCCAGATTTCTTCTGCGCATGGGATATCTTTGCCCCCCCGGAGGACCAGTTCAAGTCCATCACCATGATCAACTCAGCCTAAGACCAACCTACCAGGTCGATCAGATGGTGGATGTCTCTCATGGGAATGCTGTCCTCACTACAAGATGACTCACAGAGGCCGATTACAGTTACACTCACTGCAGAATTGGATCAACTCCCTATGATCTCGGACCTTGGATACACAGGTACTCATACCTCTCCACATGAGCCAAGATCTAATCTGGGGGACTCAACGAGATCATGTCATGTCCAGGATTCCTCTCACATTACCAGCTCCCGAACACCACCTGTTCACAGACACTTCGGATTCAGATTGGGGAGCTCACACAGATTACCTCCAAGTTCAGGGTTCATGGACTGAGATGGAAAAAGCTCTACACATAAACTACAGAGAGATGAAAGCAATCCATTATGCTCTCCAGACTTGGAAAGATCGTCTCATCAAATCATCCATTCCGATTACCTCGACAGTGGTGGCCGACATTCAGAAACAGGGCAGAACCAAGTCCCGTTCACTGATGACGGAAACTACTCCGCTATTTGCCTAAACCGACTCATTCAACTGCCGGATGGAAGCGAAACATATTCCATGCAAACTCAACATACCAGCGGACACTTTATCACGAAGAGGGAGGATCGTACCCATGGAGTGGACTCTTCACCCAGACGTTTTTACCTGGATAACCTGCATTTGGGACACCCCGCATCTGGACCTCTTTGCGACCTGTCTCAACCATCAACTTCCGGTCTACGTCAGCCCTGTTCCAGATCCAAGAGCTCTCCAGATAGATGCACTCACTATCCATGGATGGACATCCTGTTCGCCTACGCGTTCCATCCATGGTCTCTCCTAGACAAGGTCATACAGAAGATTGAAGTGACTAATTGCACTGTCATCCTCATTGCTCAAACTTTACCAAGCAGGACATGGTATCCCAGACTACTATTGCTCCTAATGGACGAGCCACTTCCTCTTCCACCTCACATCAACCCAGGTCGAGGCTATTTTACACCAATCTTCCTGTCCTCCACCTCATCGGCTGGAAAGTATCTCCCAGAGAATGCAGGCCTGCGGGTTCTCTCAAGCTGCCACTACTGATGTTACAAGATCATGGAGATCGTCATCCACTCACCCTTACGACAACAGATGAGACAAATTCATCCAGTGGAGACACAGATGTGGTCTAACAAATATCACATTCTCAATTTCTCATGGTTGCGAATATCCTTTTACACCTATGACAGAAAATAACTTCTGACATGGAACTATTGAAGGATATAGATCCGCCCTCCATTCCGTTTTCCAGGGATGGATTGTTGATTGGAACTCATCTGGTGCTTAACAGACTCATGCGTGCATTCATCCCAGAGGTTGTTCGTATTCCACAGATCTTCCCGAAGTGGAATTTATCAGTCGTCCTTTCTGCTATACTAGCCACTCCATACGAACCTTGGATACGCTGCTCGCCTCCAAAAATCCTGTAAAGCAGCATTTTTACTGGACCTTTCCATGCCTTCATGTTTGTGAACTTTATACCTCTTCTGGTTTATCTTTTGTCTCAGTGGGCATATTGGCAGCATTAAGGTCAAATACTTGACCAGGGCAAAGTATTATAGCTTCTTAACTTGGATTTCTAAAAGTAAATATTACTTCTGAAGTCTTTGCATTTTGCTGTTGAACTTCATTGAAGCAACAGAACTAGAATGCCAATTTTATGAATATGTGTTATGTGAATGAAAAATTGGATAAAATAAACCATATTGTTATTTATTTTTTCATATTGACCACTGACTATCTATAGATTCAATGTTGATGTTCAAAAACAGTCTGTATAAAAGAAAACAAGAAAAGAAGCAATCAGGTCTTTATATAACCAACATGCTTATTGTTGTGATAATATCTCAGCTATTGTGATAGAATAATAAATGTGAATAATGTTTGACTTTGTGTGATATATGGGTGTGTTTGCATTTCATCAATGTTATTTGGACACATGAATACACTTACCAATCTGTTGCACCTTGCCTGACATTGCGCCTTCACAAAGTATTCCATGAATATTTTCTCACCGGTACATCTCCAAGACAACAAATTTCCAACACCAATCACACTCAAAATATGTAGAATGAACATCATATCCATACTTCAGTTGTCAGTCAAAAAGCTCTGAGAACATCAGAAGATGTCATTTCCAAATGCATGTCACTACATGTGAGCGTCCCTGTAACAAAGAAAGAAACAGCAACATTAGTTTTGTTGTGCAGGTAATGAAAAGCATACACTGGAGATAAAGGCATTTTTAAATTGATTTAATCATATCTAGCTAAACTGCAGTACTGTTACTTCCTTCTTCATTTGCATCCAACTGTATCGATTTTTGAGTGACCATTCACGTGGTTCCACTCAGGACCACACCATTGTAGTCTACGATTGTCATGGTATATCATACTAAGCCATGGTAGCCTGATTGTATTACCATGGTAGTCTACAATCTTCATGGTATACCATGCTAAGCCATGGTAGCCTCATTGTTTTACTATGGTAATCTCCAATCGCCATGGTACACCATCCTAAGCCATGGTAGTCTGATTGTTTTATCATGGTAGTTTATAAACACCATGGTATGCTAATTGTTTTACCATGGTAGACTACAATTGCCATGGTATACCATGCTAAGCCATTGCAGTCTATTTCTTCATAATGGTAGTCTAAAATCTCAATGGTAGTCTAAAATCTCCATGGAACACCATGCAAAACATTCATTTTCACCATGGAATACCATGGTACAGATTTAACCACAAATGTTCAACCATGTTCAACTGAGCATTCATGAATGGTAACATTGAAAGACTTTTAAAGAAAAATACCAGAAAACAATCGTCATCAATTCATGAATGTCAGTGAAATACAAAACAAAAAGCACAAGTTCTTCACTTGATTGATGGCAATACAGAGATTCACAAAGAAATATTGAACAATTAACGAGTTATGCTCGGGTGAGAAATCTTACAAACATCTGAAAGTACCGTAGTGAGGTCATAAACGAGCGCGAGCCCCTTTATTCTGGATAGTTGCTTTAAGTTGGCCATTTAGCAGTATGAAGCCCACCTATCATCGTCTCATAAGTTTGTTTTTCTTGCTTATTGTTCGCTATTAATAAACAGAAGATCAGAGATAATTTAGTCCAATGCCTGACACAATCGATATTATCCAGAGCTCCAGATAAGCTTTTGGTGTTGTGGGTATTTTACCCATGCATTTTAAAATCATTGGGTATCAGTAATTCTATCTGGGTATTCAAATTTCTGTTAACCACTAGTTTTTACACACGTGGGTATTTAAGTCAAATATTTAAAAACACTATTCATCTAGTCCCTGCAAACTGGTGTCGTGTGGGTTAGAGAGCTTTATAGGACTCAAAAATACCACGATACTTCCACAAGAAAGTGTGATGGCAAATGATCATGATGTAACTGTCATCGTGGAGTTTGGCAAGGTTGACTGAATGCCCGTTTATAATTTCAAAATAAGTTGCTGATTTGCTATTTGAATACGCAGGGTTACTTCACAATATTTGGATGATACCCACAAGTTTTATTTTTGTAGATTATCTGTAATGTTCGTTGCGTATGTGATACGCTTATATTTTATTTTACTGCGTATTTCTGCATTTCCGATGCGTATTTTACGCAGATACGCAGCTTATCTGGAGCTCTGATTATCTGTCTGAATAACGGGGACTTACCTTCAACTAACACAACTGGGAGTTGCGCCAGTTCTCTATTCATAAGTATTTTAAAACAAAGTTAAACTGTGAGCGACTATAAAAGTACATTGTCAATATCGGACCACGTTATTCCGTGTGTGAACGCAATCAGCCAGCGTGCACAGACCACACTCTCGACAGACAAGTGCATCTTCTCGCTATGTTCACGATGAAAATATTATTGAAAAATGACAAGGTACCAACGAAAGGATTTACTGAACATTGAGAATATTGTTTTAATATCGATAAATTTGTGTGACAGGCTTCCGAAAACGGATACCCGTTGAATTGAAGTCTGTTGAAGGCATGTGCTCCCAGTTAAAGAAAATATTCCACTGGAACTTCAGTTTGTCGCGTGCCGTGTGACCCGTTTCTAAAAAGAGATTTGGAAGAAGACGTCGTCGAATGGCATTAGACCAATGAAATTTAATGAGAGTGAGGCTGCAAAGCCACTTTTAAGAACGCGGGATTCTGGAGTCTATTTAGAGGTTATTCGGGACTCAGCAACGCGGTACCGCGGGACGTAAAAATCGTATTTAATACACAGAATCAACACTTTAAATATATAATTGCGTACGTAAACCCTTTCTTTATATTTGTTACAAGTGGTGTGGAAAATAATCATCTGTTCCCAAGAATACAGACAAAAAATAATTTGTCCCCAGGATTTGCTGCAAATAAAACAATCCTTGCACACAGCACACTGGATCTTCTGAAAGACAATGTGTTCTGGGTTCCCAAAAAATGTTTGGCTACATCTTTCAGAGATAAAGGTGTTGAATGTCTTGAGGCATTGACTCCAAAATCATATCCGCCTCAAACAGAAACCAAAGAAGCCCCAAATGTCTGTTAACTCACTGTAGGGTGTATATCGGTCTGGCAGGTCATGGTTAACATAAGAAAACGGGGTAGCTGTTTCACACGGGGGTAGCTGTTTCATACAGGTAGCTGAATACATATATACTTACAATTTCAAACAGGAATTAACAAAAGAAAAGAAATACCAGATATGTTTTCTTTCTCTAGCTTGATGTTTAAACAACTCTGGTATCGTTTTTATCACTTTACTGGAGTCAATTCTGATTCCTTTTGTTTGTTTACTTGTTTAGGTTTATGTCAGACATTATGTACATGTTATCATGATACAATCGAGACCGCTACAGTCTATCATTAGAAGTAATTGTCACGTTTATGTTTGGTTGTTTACCGCTGCACTAAGCAATTTTCCAGCTATATGACGGCGGTCTGTAAATAATCGAAGCAGACAATCCAGTGATTGATATCACGAGCATCGATCTACGCAATTGGGATACGATGACATGCATCAACCAAGTCAGCGAACCTGACCACCCGATCCCGTTAGTCGCCTCTTACGACAAGCATGGACGCCTGTTACGGCACGCATGGCTTGCTGAAGACCTATTCTAATCCAGATCTTCACGGGTCTCACGTTCATGTAATGTAAGTACCCACATATATCACGTATTGAGTAAAGAATAATGTATTATACATAGAACCGACAAAAAGAACCATTCCCATTATCAAAAGAAATCTTATAAAAGAGAAAAGAGTCCACTGTACAATTCCGACTATGTCACGAGCATATGTTTATGAATCACTATCAAATAGTGATGATACCGGTGTTCGCGAAAAGGTTTCTTTCTCTGTCAGATGACAATTCAATCAAGGATGTTTACTTTGCCCATCCACCGTCAGGCTGCTGCAACAATACAGGTACAGATATATGTGATTTTATAGATTTATTAACAACAGTTTGGCCAATCTTCTTTCTGTGTAAATAATACTCGTCAAGACCGAAATACCATTGTTTTGTCTTTCAATATCAAGCTGACATACATCTCATGAGTGAGTGAGTGAGTTAAGATTTAACGTCACATCGGCAGTATTTCAGCCATATCGTGACGAGAAGTACATTAATAATACACATAATTATACGAAATAAAAACCTGTCGACGAAGGACAGTAAAATAACTAGATTTATCACAGATGATGTCTAAAACTAGTAGTTAGCAATAAAAATATAACATCCATACATCTCATGGAATGATTGTAACCTACATGTCACCGCTGCTTGTTTAAAGAACACACGCAAGTGCTAGGCACGAATTTTATTAACAAATTTGAATGTGATTTCTTTTCTTTTAAAACTTAGAACAATAATTCGAATCCGTCTTCAATCTTCTTAACAGCAGAACAGGAAAATTCTTCAAAGAAAAATAGATGAGTTTTATATGTGCGTAAAAAACAGAACATCATTATTAAGAATATGATCACATACACTACAGCCTAAAAGTTCATTCCCCTAACATGCGTTGAGAAACGCGTGCAACACGCATGTGACACGGGTGCTCAACGGGTTGCACACGGGTTGTATTGTCTGTAAGTTTAAATGTCACGTCACATCAGCATTTTTTTCACTTATACTGCGGCGAAATAAATTGCCAGCTTTTTGGACAGTGTATATGTAACATGGCTGCTTTTACTATTCTTATACAGGTGCTTGACTGCCTCAGTTGTTCGTGATCAATTAGAATTTTCATCGTGTAAACAAATCAGTCAAGTTTGCAACAATAGATGAATAAGTTGAAACATTTGGACCGCAGTTACCGATTAACAACTTTAGACATAGAGATAGGGAGTCGATATATAACAAAAGTTATGGTCCTGTTGAGACGATTGACAGTTGGTACTTTGGATTAAATGACCCCATATTGTAGTTTGTTTAATAGTACAAAATAAGTGTGTTAAAAAACATCTATCAACGTTTTCTTTTATTGAACACAATATTTGCTCTGTATTGCTGTAAATAATCTAGCCTCCTGCCCACGTAACTTAAACATATTTATGTATGATCTTCATGTGCCACGGTCTGTGGCCAGAAAAGCAAATAAAGTTATATCTATTATCCATGTTGACCCTATCATAATGTTCAATTTCAGTCTGCCACCAAGCGTGAATAAGCGTTATACATGTGTTGATAAACCACACTGACGCATATACATGTTTGTAGATATGAAACATTCTAGTTAATTGTGGATACACTGGCCACACATACATAGCAAAACCCAATTTTTTAAGACCGTACAGACTATGGAGCCGAAAGAAAATATGTCCAGAACGCATCTGTTGTGTATAAGAGGATGTCTATGACCTAAAATGTGATAACGTTGATCGCGAGGGCGAAACAACACGAGACTTGGGACACCGGCTGTGTAACACAAAGACATGCGGTTTGAAATCAGTCACTGACCTGAGAGTATAGGTTAATTAAACACACAAATTTGTTATCATACGAAGCATTATAAGAACTGGGGAGCCAATATGCAAGTATTACACGCATTCACAAAGGAACGAATTTATAGCTGTTACAGTATATGTTTTAATTAACCTGAACACATGTATATCAACACTAAGCAAGTAAACAAGTCCATGGA